CGCGATGGCCGTGCATCTTTGTAGGATTTGCTGCAAACAGGTGCGCGGGCAAGCGCGTGCTTGCTGTGCTTTCCGTGGACGCCGAGGCTCGAGTTCAGATGTTTTCTTGGCATGCTCTGGAGCTGGGCAGGGCAACAAAAGGGCGCAGCCACAGCTTGAGTGCTCTTTGGTTTCGCAGTGCCTCGCTTCCGAGGGGTCGAGAGGCTGCCTCCTGCTCCTCGGCGGCACGCCCGCTGGAGGCGGGTGGAAGTAACACGGGGGCGGCCGGCGGAAGTACTCGTGGGCCCTCCCAGGGATGCGCGCTTGTCTCGGTTCAGGGTTTGTGGAACCAGCCAGGTGGCACTAGTAGAGGTCTTCCTTCCGAGTGATTGTCGTTGAGTCATGTGCGCCCCTTGCCCTGGCGGGTGCCGCCCGACGACTTCTGGGCTCCCTGTAAGCTTCGCGCGCCCTGCGTGCGGGTGCTGTTGATGGCTGCGGTCCAGGGCGACTGCGTCTGCCGAGCTGTGATTGCTTCCTTGCTTGCTTGCTGCTGCTGGCTGGTTAGTGGTGTTTTTGATGGGCACACACGAGTGGGAGGGGCGCATACAAGGCGCATCTGGAGAGTCTCCGTCGCCCCGCATGGCCGGAGTGGCCGAGCACCGCTGAAGAACCAGTTGTTCTGTCAACGGGTTGGTGCTTTCGCTTGCGCACTCTGGGCCCACGGGACCTGCGCCGCCTCTGGCCGCACCCGCCAGGCGTTCGGGAGCTCGGAGACATCGTCACTGAGGACACCGACGGCCAGAATCGGCAGAAGTTGGGAGGGAGGGAGGAGAGGGCGCAGGGGGAGTTAGGAGGGAGGCAGGAGGAGCAGGAGGCGGAGGAGGAGGAGGCGGAGGAGGAGGAGGAGGAGGAGGAGGAGGGTGAGGCGGAGGCGGAGGCGGAGGAGGATGAGGAGGAGGAGGAGGAGGATCAGGAGGCGGAGCAGGATTTGGGAGGAGCAGGAGGAGGGATGGATGAGGAGGAGGAGGAGGAGGAGGAGGAGGAAGAGGAGGAAGAGGAGGAGGAGGAGCAGGAGGAGCTCTCTGCTGAGTTCATGATCCGCCTCGGGCCCGTGCTGGCAGGGGAGTCATCGTGCGCCTCTCGCGCCAGGTGGGCACTTGAACTTGCTGGCAACTGCGGCACAGTCGGGCTATTCTTGCAGCTCTTGGGAAGCTTGCCCGAGAGGGCCTGTGAAAATCAGTGCTGTGCACCGTGGTGCGGTGGCCGCCACTTAGACGGGCCAGGAAGGTAACTATCGGCCAGTGCACTCTGCAGAGGATCCGCACGCACGGCAGACCGAGAAGCTGGTGGGTTGCCCAAGGTGCTCGTAAAAGTGCAAATCGTGACCGTTGGGCTCTGCCACCCAGTTGGAGAGTGCTTGGGACGGCCAGGGCATTGCTCTGTACACGTAGCCTCCCACTGCTTGACATACTGTATCTTCATCGGCTGCGGCAGACCATGCAGCGCTATTGAAATAGAAGCAACTGCATAACGTGCTCAATGTGACTGTGCGTCGGGACATGCCGCTCTCATCTTACCATTTCCTGCTTAAGGCACGTGTCCACGCGAAGTTGGAGAAGACGCACGCGAATACTGATAGCGCCAAGGCAGACGTGTCGCAGCTGGCCGACATCAAGACCCGGCAGCGATTCACGGACAAGCTTGCTAACGTGCTCGAGGCTGTCGCTGACGGGACGCCTGACCACGACGACGTGAACCTAGCCTGGTGCCAGCTCGCAGACGGATTTCACAACGCCTCGGAACAGGCCTTGCCGCGGCAGACGCGACGCCCAAGGAAGCCTTGGACGCGCCCTTTAATCTTGCAGCTGATAGACCGCCGCGTGGCAGCTCGACAGACAGGAGATATAGCTGAAGAGAAGAATCTAGCGAAGCATATCAAAAAGGCTGTTGCTGCCGACCAGGCCGCCTGGCTGCAGGAGCTAACGGCGAACGGAGACTGGGGCGAGATCCGAAAGCTCCGGAAAAGGGTTTTGCCCGCTACAGGGGAGATTCAAAAACGAGGCGGGCCAGGTCGTGGATAGCGACAGCCGGGCTGACACTTTGGCGGCGCACTTCGAGCGGGTGCAGTGGGCAGCGCGGCCGACGACGGCGATGCCAACAGATAATCTGCATGACGGCGAGCTGCCGATCGTCTTCGACCCGATCACGCAGAAAGAAGTAAGGAAAGCAGTGGGCAAACTAAAGCAGGCAGAGCAGGAGGCTTGGACAACTTACCCCCCGAGTTCTGGATAGCGGCACCCGAAGACGGCACCCCGACGCTCCGCGGATAGCAACAACTATCACCCGATATGCACTTTCCCGATAGGGTACAAGATGTTCGCGCTCGTCCTGCTGCAGAGGATGAAGGACGCCGGTGCCGAACAGCGTATTTGGGAAACACAGCTCGGGTTCTGATCGACTTGCGGTACTGCAGACGCCATATTCATCGCCCAGCGGGTGCTGGAACAGACATGAGTCGCCCGCGATGGGAAGACATTATTCTTGGCGCCGGATTGGGCAAAGGCCTTCGATTCTGTGTCGCCTCAGGCGCTGGCCATGTCTCTTCGGAGATTTGGATGCCCGAATCGTTTTGTAAACATGGTTGCTGTTATCTACGAGAGCCGTGTCTTCGAGGTCACCGACTTCGGCGCAACGTCACAAGAGAGAAAGCAATACAACGGAATTTGCCAAGGATGCCCGTTGTCACCGTTCCTATTAACTGTTGTTATGACTACGCTTCTACATGATGCTCACAGAGAGCTTCGCCCTAGACGAGGCCAACCTGTTCCAGAAGAGCTGGTCGGAAATCTTGTCTACGCGGATGACGCGCTGCTGCTCGGCGCCAGCGCAGAGGCCATGCAGGGGCCGATGACATACGTGGAGAAATTCGGGCAACATATGGCTTGCAAGTCAACTGGAAGACGGTGGAGCTGATGAAGGTGCGCACGAACGACTGTATTTCGGACAACGCTGGCGCTCCTCTTGCCAATGAGCATTCCATCGTCTACTTGGGCCCGTCGATCTCTGCCGACGGAAGATGCGCGTCGCAATTTTCCCGCAGAATCGGAGCAGCCATGCAACACTTCAAAGTACTACACACGATTTGGTCGCAATGCATGCGTTGTGCCCATATTAGTGTACGCTCTTGTCGCGGCGTGTCTGAGCCAGGCCGAACGTCGACCGTTGGGCGGCTTTCAGAATCGGTGTATCAGAAAGATGTGCAGATTGCCTCCGGTATACTTCAGTGGAGCGTCGAACGCCGCCGTGCTTGGGATCGCTGACCAGACGAAGCTCAGCGACGACCTCGCGAGACGGCAAATGATATTCATGGGCCAATTATCGCGCCGACCCGGCCGAGACCCTGTGCGACGCTCGGCGTTTGAACCGGGCACCCTGGGGCCGCGGAGGGTCGCCGGCCCGTGGAAGAGGGGCAGGCCGAGGCAGACGTGGGGCCATCTAGTTTGGAATAACTGTCTCAAGGTCGCCGGCTCCCGCGAACGACTCGCTGCCTGCTTCCGCCGGGGCGGTGGTGCAGCTCGAGTTAGAGAGTGGGGGCGCGCGGTGAAGGCATGGGCCGGAAGCTGGTAGCCCTCAGGCTGCGCTTGGTGCAAGGCGTACTTGACTTGACTTGCACAACCGCGCGCTTCCTGTCTGCGCGGCGCTGGCCCCCCCCCCCTGGTGCGCGGGGCGCGCCGGGGGTGGCGCCGGAGGCTCCGCCAGGGGGTTTAGCGCCGATCCAGGAAATCCACGCGGTCATCCGAAAGTTCACGCCCATTGCCCCTTCACTCTGGTGGCCCAAATCTGGCCGTGATCGCTGCGAGGCTCATGGGGGTTTTTCGGGGTAGGAGGAGGCCATCGGAGGAGGGCCCGGGCTGCCGCTCGAGGCAGCGGGTTCCCCGAGGCCTGGGCCGCAGCAGCGCGTCGAGGATGCTTCCTCGCCGTCCGCAACATGTCTTCGTGGCGTTTGTTCCGGCGCGCGGCCTTCCATCTATGAGAGGGCGTTTCGGCCGCCGGGGCAAAAGCCGCCTCGGGCGCAGGGTTTGCCGTTGGTTTGCCTCGGGGCCAGCTCTGTCTACCTGCGCGCGTTCAGGAGCAACCGGCGCGGCGGCGCATATCAGCGGTGCTGTGCCCGTTTTTGGGCCGCCAGGTCGACGTCTTCCGCTCGGCGCCTCTCGGCGGGTTTCACTTTCTGCAGGCGCTGGCTCGAGTAAAAGTCCCCCCTGGCTTGCGAGAGTCTGGCGCCCTGCCCAAATCCTCCGCCGGAGTGGCCCTCGCCGCCGTGCAGCTGGAGTAGCGCTTCCCGCGCAGTAAGAGGGTCGCGCCCAAATCCGCGGAAGCCAAGAGGCGGCCGGCAGCGGCCGCCGCGATTTGCGTGGCGGTGCCAGACGCTTTGGAACAGCAAGAAGGTCTGCGCGGCTTTTGACATATGCAAAAGCAGCTCCTGCCCGTGTGCTGACGAATGCAAAACCAGCAGAGTTTAACTGTCCGTGGTGAGTGCAGGTTGGTTGCGCCAAGACCCCCCATGTTCCAGCTCCGTTTCAGGAGGAGAACCGCCTTCGATTTCAGGGGGGGGGCGTTGGGGGGGGCCTTTCCAATTTCGCAATGGGCGTGTTTCGTGCTTGCCCAGGGTGGGGTTGGGTGGGTTCCAGAACCTGCAACCCCGCCACAGTATTCATCGAGGGGATGGGGGAGAAACCCGAGGGGGACCTACCTCAATTGTGTGTGTGTGGGTGTGATTGTCCTTCTTCTTGGTTGGTTGCCGTTGCCGCTTTTCCGCTGCGCCTCGCTTGCTGCCTCGGCTTGTCGCTGCCGCGCTCCGCCTTCTTGTTCTCGTTCCTTTCTCTTTTCCCCTTTTCCAATGTCCTTGCCCGCGCGGCTGCCCCCCCCCCCCCCCGCGAGTGTTGTCGTCGATTCCCTATGGGGGGATCTAGCTTCTCCGCGCCGCGTGAGCTGGGCCCGACCGCGCACTTGCCTGACCTGACCTACGCCGCGCCGCAGCGCGAGACAGCGACGCCGAACAGTGCGTGCGTGTGTGTGTGTGTGCGCGCTTGACCGCTGGTGCAGTTTACCTCTGCCTCGCCGCCGACGGGAAAGTGTGTGTGTATGTGTGTGTGCGTGCGTGCGTGTGTGTGTGTGTGTGTGTGTGTGTGTGTGTGTGTGTGTGTGTGTGTTCGTGTGTGTGTGTGTATGTATGTGTGTCTGTGTGTTTGCGTGCGCGAGTGTGCGTGTGTGTGAGAGAGAGTTTATTTCAACCCAGCTTTGCGCGTCGCGACGGTGTCGCCACTTCGCCGATGGAGGGCGCGCGTCAATGTGTTTGTTCGTCTGCTTGTCTGTCTCTCTGTCTGTCTATTTGTTTGTTTGTTTCTCTGTTATTTCGGTTGTTTGCTTGTGTTTGTGTGTGTGTGGGCCCGCGGGGGGGCTCTCCGCCTCGTGTATTGCGCCGGGGCAGGGGATTTGAACAGCCCCCCCCGCGGCCTCGCGCGATTGGTGGAGAGCGCTTGCTGGGCGCAGGTTGGCCTGGCTTGTCCTGCAGCCCCGCGCAGGAGCATTGAAGTAGAGAGCAAGGGGTAAGGGCAATCAGTTTAAGGAGGATCGCTCGCGCCTTCGGGCTGCGCCGCAGTTGACTCGATCATTGGGCGTGTTGTGACATCGGGAGCTAGTTCGAGCTCTGAGGCGCCCCGCGCCGTCGCGCGCGGAGGGGCGACGAACCTGAGTGGTAGCTTGAGACATGGGCACGGTCAGAGATTCTTC